AAACCTTTTTCCTTCAGGATAAGAATTTACATGAAACGAGTTTGTTGCTACGTAGCGTCACGTATCCAATAATACATTGACAAGTGCAAGCTTTTCTCCACATGACAATATATTATTAAAAGAGACACCATGTGACTAAGTTTAGATGTATGTACTAAAGATATTGTTAATGTGTGTTAATGGAGTTTCAATGGATTAGGTAGATGGGCAGCTCCCGGAAATTTGATTTTTGTTGCCCTTGCGGAGAGGCGTTGGAGGATGTTGGTCCAACAGTTGGGGAAGAATTTCAGACCCGTATTCGACACGGTACGTTCTGAGTTAAATTATTAACGCTGGTAAACATGCGATGGTGGTCAGAACGAGATTGAAATGTGAGTCTTCCCAGCACCAGACTATCGTGACAAAACCTTTAGATGATCTTTTTTGTATAAAATAGGTAAATTGCTTAGATTAAATTTTTCTTTGCAAGAATTATAATACTTAAAAAAATAGACAGTTAGCTGAAATTAGTTATCACTTCCTTTGAAACTATTCATTAAGTCAAATAGTTCAAATTAGTCTATTTTCTTTTATGCATATATACGAATTGCCCCTGATTTTGGGCTAAGTGAAATTTCAATCCAAATGACAAAGAGGGAAATGCTCCAATGGCCGGAGATTTTGAAAAAAAGGGACCCTAATTTGAAGTTTTGAAGGCTAATAAAGTCTAATTTTGAAAAAAAAGGACCTAATTTTGTGAAATTGTAACCAAAGTAACATTTTATTTTATTTTATTTTATTTTTATCACCATTTGATTTGGAGGATCGAGTTATTTCCTCTCTTTTCTTTTGTGCTAGTTTTTGTGGGAAATTCTTCGTAGGGTAAGATATGCTTGTAAAGCTTTGAAAGATTTTGTTTGGTTTACTTGGATGCACCTTGTTGAAAGTTCCTTCTTTTGGTGCTCCAAAATTTGAAACGTTTCGGTTTTTATTCTCATAAGCTGTGTGAGCTCTCCTGATGATCAGTTGGTGCTCCAAAATTCAAAACGTTTCGGTTTTTAATCCTATAAGCTGTGTGAGCTCTGCTGATGATTACGAAACGTTTGTTTTGGTCACATTTTTTGTCTGTAGGTGTAAGAGCTAGGTTAAGTTATGGAAAACTAAGAAAGTTGGATTATTTTGAGACTTGGTGGCTTAATGCCTGTGTACTGGATTCAAATTCTCGTTGTTATGTATGTCTCGTTCGGAGTCTGTAATTCTCCGTTTTGATTCTGAACATTATATGTTTGTGGCGGCGAATCATGCCACTCCTGTGGGGAAGGACAAGGGACAGCATCCCAACATAGAATTAGAATCCAGCAGCTAGAAGAATGGACAGTACTCGATGATTTTTTTTCGTTAATTCGGTAAGGGAGTCCGAGTTTTAGGTACTTGAAGTGAGAGAGACATCATGGTTTCGGGATTCCGGTAATAGAAGTGAGTTTTGTTGAACACATGCGTGAGTTACATGAATGCCTGACTTTAGGAATTCCAAGAAAATTCAAGACCTGTTTGGTATCCTATTTGAAAATTTTTATCATTTTTCAAAACATTTCTTAACAACATTTATTGAAAACAATTTTATTTAAGACTTAAAAACTTAATTGGTTTGCGATTTAAAATTTTTAAATCTTACGACTTAAACTAGACAAAGAGATCTGAAAAGAGGGAATCACATGAAAGGGAGAAAGAGAAGTGATGAAGAAAGAAATTAAGAGATGATTGAAGGAAAGAGGAAGAAGGGAGAGGATCTGAAGAGATAAAGAGGAAAATGAGTGAGAGAAAGAACCGAAAGAATGAAGAAAATTGGAGAAGAGACGAAAAAGGTCAAAAAAAAAAAAAAAAAAAGGGAGAGAGAAAGAAGAAAAGAGAGAGAGGGAGAGATATTTGGAGTGAGAAGGGAGGATGGAGAGAAAAGAAATGAGTGAGTTTAAGTTTAAAAAATATAAAACCTCACTTTTTATGTTTTTAGATAATAGACTATATTTTTTAGTTAGTCTTAAGTTCAGTTTTTTTAAATAATTCTACCAAACAAGTTTTTAAGGCCTAAAACTTGAAAATTGTTTTTGAATTTAAAAAGTTTGATTCAAGTAGAATACCAAACAGAGTTAGAGCCTGCTGGATAAGTGTAACAAACCAAAAGGGTGGAAATATGTTTGAGAACTTTTTTTGCTTAAATCCAAAGATGGCGAAGGTTTGGAATAAGTAATAGGATCCCCGGAAGGCAAACGTCTCATGGGGGACAGCCTTGTTCTTCCGAGAGTCGGGTGCAGTCCCACCTGATATACCTTAAGTCGCCTGGAGACGATAGGTAAAGGCACTTATCTTTCTGTTCTTCTTTAAGTTGGCTTCTTATGAGGTAATTTTTGCAGTGCAACGAAATCAGAAGAGTAGCAGCAGCATGGCTGTGATTGGGAAAACCGCTGTCGATGGAATGGGTTTACTGCTCCGTGATATTCCGTATCCAATAAACATTGACAAGTGCAAGTTTTTCTCCACATGACAATGTATTATTGATCGGAACGCCACGTGACGGTGAACTCATTTCATGTAAGTTGCTTTCTAAGTTTAAAGATGTACTAAAGATATCGTTAATATGTGTTCATAGAGCTTTAATGGATCAGGTAGATGGGCAGCTCCAGAAAATTTGATTTTTGTCGCCCTTGCGGGGAGGGGTTGGAGGACGTTGGTGATAAAATTTGATTTGTTGCAGTTATTTAGTATTATAGTCTGGTACTTTTTTATATATAAGTGACGGGTCCTAAGTTTGAATCTCTTTAATGACGAGTACCATACTAATTATTCCTTATAGTATCGGAGAAAACATAGGATCGTTGACTACTCATGATATCAACTCTTGGTTTAGTGTTTGTTTTGACAAAGTTGATCAGGTAGATGATAACTATTTGTTGGCCAACTCTATACTTTATCTAAACAATCAAAACCAAGCTTCAATCCATATATTACCTGTACAAAATTTTATCCCAAGCCAAATGTGATTGAGACAAATCACCGCGGGATGATCTAATAGTTGCGGACGAATTTCAAATCTATGTTTCATACAGCACATCCTGAGTTCAATTACTGGCTCTAGTAAATCACGCGATGATGGCCAGAATGAGGCTGAAATGTGAGTCTTCTCGGCCCCATAAGGGTGGATTGTCGCGGGCAAAGCCACCAAATGGTCTCTTTTGGATAAAATAGGTAAATTGCTTAGATTGAATTTTTCTTTGCAAGAATTGTATATGAATAGATACTTAAAAAATAGATAGTTTAGATTGGTGTAAAATGCAAATTATATATGAATAGATACTTAAAAAATAGACAGTTTAGATTGGTGTAAAACCAGTGTTTAACAAATTGGATGGAAATATCGGTATGTAAATTTGTGAAAATATCCACGAATATATCAAATATTGATATCGATATAGGTTGCTTTTGAAGGAAATGATGAAAATTTAAAATGAAACTTTAGAATTGTCAAACATTGGTTTGAACAAAATATAAGCGTTTCTCTGATATTTAATAGTTCTGTCAGAAATATGGATGATATATGTCAATTTTAGTCTAAACTTAAGAATTTTGGTTATCACTTCCTTGAAACTATTCATCAAGTCAATAGTTCAAATTAGTCTAAAATAAAATTTAAAAAAAAATAAAAACGTCAGATTGTTTGATCCCAATATGATCCTCTCCGGATCTTTTTGGTGAGGATTTTGAGAATTTGTGAATCATGTTCGTTCATTGTATATCGTATAGTCAATTTTTATCAAGTACTGTTTATGTTTAATTTTAAATAAAAAAATTTTAATTTTTTTTTTACCAACACGATATGATGACGAATACAATTCACAAATCTTTGAAATTCACACTAAGAAGATCTGAGGAAAATCCGGTTTGATCATCTGGCCTAACGGTCATATGACTTCTTCTTTAGTATTTTAAAAGTGGAGTAGTATCAGTCTCTAGAAGCCACACAAAATTATAAGTTCAGACTCGAGACTTGACCACGAAGCATCCAGTACTTGTCCCCTTTAATACTCATTCCTCCTCCTCAAGAGGACCCAACTGGCCAGCCCTCCACCCAAGTTTGAAAAAGTATATTCGCTTTTGGCTTCTCGCATTTTCTTTTCTTTATATTATTAGTCGGCATCAACCTGGAAGGTTCATCTCCTAATTATCATTAATTATTAATCCCATGTTAAGGGCCGTATTAGGAGTCATAATTATCATTAATTTTTAATTCCATTTTAAATCATGTGTTAATGTACCACTAACACGACTCAGCACAAAAAGTGTAATAAAATAATTTAGTTAGAAACTTAAAAAAAGTTTCAACCAATTATATTATGACACTTAACGTATCAAACCGTGTTTCCAGCATACTGCAAAATTTCTCATATTATAAGTCCTAATTAATCATCACTAAATCCAAAGACCAGGCTGGCCGTCCTTTTAATTTCAAGGCATATGCGTTTTGGGAATATTCCTCACGGGGCCGCAGCCAAAACGACATCTGGTTCACATGCGAAACGCAAGCACCACCTGCAAACATAAAAGAAAAAGAAAAAATAATTAGCACACAAAAGTACAAATATTAACATGAACAACGAAATAGTGTAACAGAAAGGTTACGTATCAACGGCGAACCGACTTTAATTGGACTATTTTGTCCGGTAGAAAACAGTAACGCACTACGTGGCACGTATGGAGGGACATACTGCTAGCAGTGTACAGCGCTGAATTAACGGCGACAAACGGTATCCAAACGATAAAAGTGGTACCGTGATTAACGGCGCCACAAATTTCAAGCACTACTGTATTTTTCTCTGTCATTATATTAAACGACCTCGAAAAATATGTATAAAAAAAATAAAAAAATTAAATGAAGAAAATAAAAAATCCTTCATTCCAAAACGCAATCACAAAATTTCACCCTCTGTATATGTTTTTTAAAATATATTTTTGATTAATTACGTCATCTATGTCCTCTGTGTGAAGCTCCTTCCATACGACATGTCGCAGTGGGGAACGCGAGGATGATGGTGGTAGTGACGATACTGCTGATAATGATGAACATACGACATGTCGCAGGGGCCACTCCTCTGACCCTGAGGCTGGAGATGGCAAGGATAGTAGCAGACTCGTCCGAACCCTCGCTGATGACCGGCGGGGTATCTAGCCGGCGGCGAAGCATACCGTTTTGGTGGCGATACGTGCGGCGAAACGTACCGCCTCGGTGGCGAAACTTGAGGCGAAACGAACCGTTGCGGGGGCGAAACTCGAGGCGAATCAGCGGATGAGAAGAGCGATTTGGAAGGGGACGAGTCGCCGCCGCTCGTAGCAGTGGACATCGGAGGCGAGATTTGCTTCAGGGACTTCGGCGGCGAGAGAATGGCTCGGATCTTCAGAGAATGAGGGGGAGAAGACGCTCGACCGTACTCTTCTATGATATTCGCCAAATCCTCGTCGGACTTGACGGAAATCAAGGTCTCCAAGTCTCCGTTCGGCAACGGACACCGCAATTCAACGGAATAGCCACACAACTCCGCAAGCTTCACCATTAGCTCTGAACACACAAAGAAATTCGAAATCAGCATCGAAATTGAAACGAAGCAACTTGAATCGAGTCCAAATTTTCAAGAAATTAAGCAAGAATCGAAAGAAAAATATCGAATCGGAGACGATCGAACGCACCTGTATACGTAATGGATGATCCGACGGAGAGGACGCGATTGTGGCCGCCGACGTACCGGAGCGTGCCGTCGGAGTGTCGAGGGAGGATTTTACCGCCATAGCTGCAGAGAAGTTTTAACGGTTCGGGTGCTTTGTTGAGGCCCATGGCTTTCAGACTCTTTCGGTGGTTAGAGAGAGAAAGCTACCGCTTGGTTAGAGAGAGAAAGAGAGAGCTGAGAGAGGGAGAGGAGAGAGAAGGGGTTTTGGAGGAGGAGAGGTGCTTGAGGGTTCAAACCTCAGAGAGTGAATTTGTAGAATATTTATAGGTGGGGAGGAGTGGCGGTGACGTCAGCGAGCGACCCACACGCAAAGCAAGGAAGGAGCACTAATTGTTGCGGTTGCTTCCTCTAATTATAATTCCTAGTCGTGATTGGAAATGTAATTAGTAGTAAATTAGTAATTAGTAAATTAGTAATTAGGGTTGCTGATGAATTTCGCTGATCTATTCTTCCAATATTCCTTTTCTTTTTTCTCATTCAATGGAGTGGGCCTCGCTGGGCCCATTTAGGTGGCATCACAAAAAAATAAAGTTTCTATTTTTTTTTTTTTTTTTTAATTTTTTTGGAAAAGAACAGTGGACGGCGGTTAGATTTGATTCGGATGTCACTCCAAAGTCCAAAAGGAATCATGATTAAATCGGTAATCTACTAATCTGTAGTTAATTTAGACGGTTTGGTTTCAATCTTTTCACCTGATATCAACACTTTTTTGTAGTACAAGCCATCGTAAGAGACGGGTAAATCGAATCCAATACGCAATGTGCAGGAATAAATATTTTTAAATCAGTTGGACGTTCAGTTATTAAGATTTGCATTATTTAACTTGTACATCGTTTAATCAATTTGCCTCCAGAATCTTCCAATTTAATTCCGACTAAGAATGATGTTGCCTTAGCATAAATAAGTGCATTTTTTTTTCTTTTTGGTCAATTATAGGTGCAGGTTTGAACATTGATCTTGTACATATTGTGTTACCATAATTAATCAGTCATTAATTAAATGCTGACGTGATTTAAAGAAGTAAACACAAGATGTTGACATAACTTAATCATGATCGTTTAAATATAGAAACTTAATGGACTTAATGGGTAGTGTCTTTCCTCTTTGTCTTTCTCTCTCTATAAAAAAATAAATACAAAATGTTGACATAACTCAACCATGATCGTTTAACTATAAAAACTTAATGGGCAGTACCAAAAATAAATTCGTTGCAGTGGTGAAGAACAAATAATTTGCTTTTGGATCATTCAAAATTTCAAAGAGTTGGACACTCCACGAAAGGTCCCATAGAAAGAATTACAAATGTTTTGATTTGGATTTGGCTTTCTATACTATGTCTAGAAATCCCGGGGAATTCTCCGAGTAACCATCATATCTCCAAAACCCTAGAAGATCATTTCAGTTCAAATATCAAACGTCATACCAATTTCTCGTGTGAAATTTAAAGAGAAGCGAACCAAGTTTACTGTTATAGTGATGCTTTTTAGGAGGTCAGTCGCCTAACCAGGCTATCCTAGATCTTCTCATTTTCAAGAAGATCCCCGCTCTATTTAGTTTAGTAATGGTTTGATACTGATGTACTTTTATAAAAAATGGGTATCATAAAAATCTGAGCTCAAAAAAGTATTTGGTAAACATTTAAAAACAACTTATTTTCATAGTTTTGGGTGAAAAAAAAAATTGAAAACGTGAAACAGCAAAAATAAGCTTATTCTCACAACACAGCAAAAACAGTTTTTTTTTTTTTTTTTTTTTTTTTCAAAATGCAGCAATACCAAATCAGTATCAAGGTGATTCCCATGCCATTAATACATGACTATAAAAGTACACAACTATCTCGACATCGATATTTTTATTAGTAGCTATACGCCACCATGTCAGTGAGGGTTCCATATGGAAGTCTCTCCCACATACATGCAGTGACAGTTTTAAGAGGGAGCGAATTGTTCAGTCGTACAGGGCTCCAAAATTTAAGGGGATACTATAAGAATTTTGTTATCTAATATATACAGCAACATTATATCTAAATGTGACTGAAAATTTACATAATTAAACACGAAAAAAAATAAAAAAATTCAATTGGAACCTACAGTTAACTTTTTTCTAACTTTCCCTTTATGGGAAAAAAAAAAAACTTATTCCACTTTTTTATTTTGCTAGCAATTTTAGTTGCCTTTACAAGTACAATTTAATTGATGATGTTGCAGCAAAGAATGCACGAAGAACCATCTTTAAGTGAAGTTGTACTTTATTTAGTAATGGTTATTTTTTAAGGTTTCTTTACTTATTATGTAATGCTATTGGGAAACTGATAAGTAGCGTGAATTTTAAAATTTGTTTGAATTTTGATTATTGCTTTCTACCATCAATATATTTTAAGAAAAAAAAATTGAAAGACTCTCTTAAAGAAAACCCCTATATAAATTTTGCACGAACCTTTCAAAATTTCAGAGATCGCCCTGCATATAAGAGTGTATGAGGTGATTGGAGAAGGGATGATAAGGCCAAAGGAAACAAGATCCATAAACATCATTGACAATTGCGTTGGAGACGTTACATGTGGGGACGTTATTTTAGGTAACAAGCATGAAGGCTAAATTTTAGCATGGGCATCGACATCATTTCTGCAAAATGTTTTCAGTAGGTAAAGGCACCAAAATACGGTATTGGTCTATGTTGTAGTGACTGGGGACGGCCGATTCCCGTTTGGTTCAATTTATTCTTAAACTAGTAGCACAATTAAATACAGCAATTTCTGTTTTGAGATTATTTGGTACTAAGTGATACGAAAAATGAATAATTAAAATTAAAAAAAAAATTAATGGTTGTGAAAATCAAATGTAGCAACTAAAGAAGCTACTAAATTTACGTAGCATTAAAAGTGGCTCTGAACTAAAATCTAAGTTAGTAAAGACATTTTATAAAAACTAAGATAAAATAGTGAACGCTGCATAAAATAGGCATCCACAAATAAAATATAAAAAATCAGCCCACAAAATTAAAAAAACGTGACTCGCTCACCGCGATTTTTCTGTGCACCTGTAATTATTTATTGCAATAATTTAATTTCGCTCAATTATAGCAAATATTGACGGACAACCGCTAGCACGGGGTTACCGCATAAGACCCTTTACAGAGAAAAAGCTTTATCCCAACAAGTAGAAAATTTCAGGAGGTTCCTTACCGAATCCTCTTTGTAAGGATTATAGGGATCATTTAATTGCATTAGTTCATCGTATATCGTGTGGTTATAAATTATTGTAATTTTTTATTTAAAATTGAATAAAAACAGCACTTAACAAAAACTGACTGTACGATATACGATAAACGAATGTGATTGAAGGATCTTCAAAATCCTTATAAAAAGAATCCGACGATGACCCTCTCGCTAGAAAATCAGTACAATATAGTGATTAGCATGCTTTCGTATTTATGTATGCATTTATTTATTTATTTAGGTCGGAGCTTTGTGAGCGGTTCAAACCGGGTTTTTGCAGTTCCGATGTTGATTTCACGTCTGTAGATTGTACCTTTCCACATTTTGTTGACAGAAATAAAAAGGGACTGAGTATGCGTCGTGTACTCGTTCCACATGCGGACGGGCCTGAAACGTCGACACGCATAAGGTAACACCTAAATGAGGCGACACGTGGAGGGACGCGTGGCGTCAAAGGCAGCTGGCGAGGATCCTGTTCCTAGGATGATTTCATCAGGCGCGAGGAGCTAATTTCGTCCACTGGATTATTGTGGTGGGAAAAATTAAAGACCTAATGGCAGGCAAGATTCTCCGTGCATGGTCAAGGAGGTAAGATAAATTTTGGGATATGCTATTCATACACTTATCTTTACTTCACACAAATCTCTTGTTATTTTCTGTCTTTTGATCTTCTTCAATTCATCAAATCCGATAATCGAAAATTAAAAAGGTGTGTGAGAAGTAAAAAGAGATATGTGAATATCATACCCCTAAATTTTTTATTGTAACAGGAACAACTACCTGCTTTTATATAAATTGTGAAAAATTATATTTTTTAAGTTATTAATTCTTTAATATACATATTCTTCTATTGGTATAATAATGCGTGAATTACCACCTAGTGTTTCAGTCATTAAAAAATTCTCTCAAGGACATGATGGTGTTGGCCCACATGGCATGGCTCATTGGCTTGTGGCTGATAGCGAAGAAGAATTTAGAAGGATCTGTTGTTAATGTTCCCCTTTAATAATATAATGGTATATAAAATTATGGGAATTATTGTTGGTATTTTAAAAATCTTATTTTACACTTCAAACTTTTTATATTTGGAAAGAAAAATACACTTGTAAGAAGGATAGAATGAGATTTTTGGAGTGCCAATAACACTTTCCAAAATGATATTGACTTGTTATTGTTTGGGATGCCATCACATGTTGGTATACTAAGTTTATATCTTAATTTGCTATCCATACATGTTTTCTTGGCTGATTCTAATCAGGTATCTCGGTCTGACATTCAACTTTAAGTTTGTTTACTTCTTCGAGGAGTTGTTGGATAAAGGGGTCTTCAATGGAGTTATGTATAATTTGAGCCTTTCTTCATAAGTTTCCATCATCTCTTGGACGCAAAAAAGTTTAGTCAAGGGCATGTGGCTTTTCCTTGGATTCACCGTATTGACTTATGGAACGTGCTTGTTGGAGGCCCCATGTGTCTCCTACACCCTCTAGTCCCTCCAAGCCTTGTCATGCATTCTTAGGTTAGTAGCTAGTATGGGTCATGGTAGGGGACAGAGTCCTTTGGAAACTCTTGGGTCATTGATCTTTGAGCCCATGTGGATGGGTTTTTCTCGACACTGCCTCAAGAAGTCTCAACAGTATCAATAAAACAGTTCTTCATCCTTCCACTCCTCCTGCGAGAATATGCCTCCCTCCATTTTTCCTGCTTTGAGTTGAAGCAGCTAGGTTGAGAGAAGTCTCGTGTTGAGCAACATTCTAATGAAAATGTCGTTCAACATCCATGTTGAAGACAAGTGACCCTCCGTTTAGAAGGTACCCACATGATGATCAACAGTCATGAGGGCGATGGGCTCATGAGACCGAGTTTTTCTAGCCTCATAAAGCATTCCGAAGAGCTTCTTATATTGTTCTTGGATGATCTCATTCCTAATTGCGATCCTGTTATTCTCAGCCTCTAGCTCTTTAACCTTAGCTT